CAGCCAGATGGTGGTTTTAATGTAGTTAGTTACATAATTATTTAATATGGTTGAACAACTGTTGATCTGCATTCTTAATCAGGTAGAACAGTGATCAGGACACTGGAGGACTGCAAACATCAGAGAAGATTATTGTGATTTGTTTCTAGTCTTTTGATCTGTGGACATCAAAACTTCCATGTGCCAGAACCAGTCAGCAATTATAAATGTATATGAACACTGCAGTGCCACCTACTGTCACTGGACATAAAATGCAGAATTTCACCCCTTTACAAATTTATTATTTGGTTATTTTAATATACATTTAATATACACAAAATCTACAGATAAAATACACATCATATATCATTACAGTGTGTTTGTTAATAGTGTGCATGTGTCACAAACTTGATGGCTTCATAATATTTAGTGTCAGTGTTGATGGTGTTAAAGTTACCTGCCTAATTACTTAGTAGTATATTAAGATTATTTTAAACTCTTCATGAATTTAAAGGAACACTGACACCACAGGAATTCATAAGTTTTTGCTTATAAAAGTCCTAATACTGTTTTCCTCCAGTAAAATAGATCAGATCTTACTGATCTATAACTGTGCATTTGTCCTGTCTGTGCTTAAGCTTAAAGTGTGTGTACACACATGGATATGTACAAAATGCACAGTCTAGTACCCTTTTACTCTTGACATCTACAAGTATTGCACAGATTTGAAGCACCTTCCTTTTATTTTTCCTTCTTATTTCAGCTAATTTAAAAAACCAAACACAACTACCACATGGTGTCACTCTAGTTCCTGGAATGAGCAAATGACCTTTGTGTTTTACTACCTAGACTGGATTTTCTCTCTTGGGGATAAGAGCACCACTTGCACACTGATACTAGTTTTGGCAAGCAGTAGGATGAACCTCAGTTCTTTGCACTACAAGTAGGTGACATGTGCCACAGAGATGTTGAGACATAGAGAAACAAGCCCCTTGAAAAACATTTATAAGCATCTCAAAAGAGGGCAAAATACAGGAATGTTTGTTTATATCTGTCTACCGACCTCTATAAAGAACAGCCTGCTCTTTTTTATTAGATTATACAGAAATCCCAAAGAAATATTAAAATTTTCGTTCTAACTTATCTTCCCCCATATCTCCACCTCTTAGGGTTAGCTAGATTATGTGCTTATCCCATTACTTTGTGTTTCTAATAATAGATACAGGAAGCAGGAGAAATGATCATGCAACCACTGGTGCAGGAAGGCCACCTCCTTCACAATATAATCAACCCTCACCACCACCTCCACCAGCAGCTGCTGTTCAGGTGGAAAACATGGTAAGCATGTTGCTGGAACAGAACTGTATTTCCTAGTGACAAAAGAGAAATACCTTGATTGGCGCTTTTTTGAAGAGAGTTCACATGTGTTCAGACTGCACTGTGAATCGGGCACAGCTGCTGTGGCTTGCTGTACTTTCATTCAGCTCTTTTTTATTTTAGTGAAAATGCATTAAACTAACAAAGACAAGGTCACTACAATAAGTATAATTTGCTCTCTAAGGTTCTCTCTGGAAAAAAAGCTGTTAAGAGGCATTTTTTTTATAAACTTGAATTTAGTATATTCTCAAAACATGAAAAGCTGGCTTGACTTCAGACTCCTTTTTTAGGAGGGTAACACCTACAGACATTAAGGGAACTCAGCTTATTGTCCTGTCATACCAACTTAGCCTGATCATCATCTAGTAGCATGGTTGGTTTGGACCTGCCCTGGAGTCATCCTCAAAACTTTGCCACTGTAAAACAGCATCATGCTAGAGAGTAGGTTAGAACAGAGATGATGTGCATGCCTGTCTCCTTACTTTTCATTCTAATAGTGACAAATGTTATTCACACCATTTCTATAAATTTTAGACAAGTAATTTTATATTAGACAATAAACAGTAACACTAGAGGTAAAATATCTGCGAAGACATTGCAATTGAAAGGGTAATTGCGATGGTGAGAAAACTGGCTATCTAAGGAGTAAAACCGTATTTTCTAGAAAGCAGTACTCATTCTGTATAAACTGGTTTCTTTTCAGTTTTGTTGCCACCTGGCTCATGCAAGCACTCCTGAGACCAGGCTAGATTCTGATTCTCCAGTTATCATCACTAGCACAACATCAGGATCTGGTGTGACATCAACGCAAAAACTGGTAACATGCTAAAGTTAACTTTTTTTCTTCTTTTAGGATATAATCATAACAAATATTAGTTTGGGTATTGTTATTTGTGCATTTCTCAGAGCAACACAGGTATGTAATTGAGGACACTGCCATAGAGTTTATATGGCAGTATGAAGACACTAGGTTGAAAATGCTCATTTATGTTACATAAACTCATTTATGCTAGGAGCAGTTTTAAATTCTGTTTTTAGGTAGGGCAGTGTGGGAAAGTGAAGAATAGAAGAGTGCACTCAGGTATAGTGCAACAGCAAAAATTGGTGTTTGACTTTTGTCATGGAAAGTGCTCATATCCTTGTCTCATTATCCTGCACTTTGAAATTTCTCCCTCATTCCCTTTTCTGTGCTTTGCGCTAAACTGCCCTCCTTTCTTTTCCATATTTGACAGAGTTTGCTATCAGCTGTCAGAGAAAGATGCATTTTTGTATGCATGGGAGCTTTTTTTGTTATCTGCTCTGTCATTGCTAGAAAGGTTTTCCACAATGATGGAAGTACCTTCAGCTGTCACTCAAGCATGCAGTCAGCCAGCAAAGCTAAACTATCCATGCTTCTTGATTTTTGTCAAATTAGTCTTATTTCCCTCAGAACAGAAGTCATTTACTTGAAATGCTATCGCACAAGTAGAAAAAATGGAGTAATCCTGGTTGCAGCCAGGTGGAGCAAATTCAGTCCTGTGTAATGTAATTGGACTACCTGCAACATCACATGTTCCATTTAGGCATGTGGTAGATAAAACTGAGCAGAAACACCTAGCATTGTAAATATTATGTTTAGAATTTTTTTACTAATTAATATTTAATTTTTTTTATAGTCCATGCCAAAAGTAATAACATCTGCACAACAGAAAGCAGGACGAACAATCACTGCTCGAATCACAGGCCGAGCTGATATGGGACAAAAATCCAGAGCTTCTGGGAGTTTAGCAGTGATGGGAGTTGCTCCACCCATGAGTTCAGTTATTGTTGAGAAGCATCATCCAGTCACTCAGGTAAATCAGATTGTGTATTTATGTTCTTAAAGTATTTTTATTACAACACATCTGGTAATAGTTTGAAGAAAATTACCTTGTGAAGAGGTATTAGACAAAGCTAGACAAATTAGACTTTAGGCCTGTTGAAAACAGCAAACAGTACTTTGTGTCTTTGTGTAGAAGGCACTGGTGAGGAGATGTCATGGTTTAACCCCAGGCAGCAGCCAAGCCCCACACAGCCACTCAATCACTCCCCCACCAGAGAGTTTGGGAAGAGAATCAGAAGGGTGAAAGCAGGACAACTCATGGGCTGAGAAAAAGACAGTGTAATAGGGAAAGCAAAGGCTGTGCACACAAGCAAAGCAAACCAGGGAATTAATTCAGTGCTTCCCATGCACTGGCAGGTGTTCACCCATCTACAGGAGAGCCAGGCCCCATCATGCAAAATGGCTACTTGGGAAGACAAATGACATCACCACAAATGTCCCTCCCTTTTCTGCTTCTTTCCCCCACTTTGTACACTGAGCTTGGTGCCACATGGTCTGGAATATCCCTTTGGTCAGTTTGGGTCACCTGTCCTGGCTCTGTCTCCTCCCAACTCCCCAAACACCCTCAATCTCCTCACCATCGCGGTAGTACCAAAAGCAGAAAAGGCCCCCATCTCCTCCTGTGACTCACAGCCATGTGGCTTGCTGCACACAGAAGAATTCAAGAATTTGGGTTCCTAAGCAGAAATTAATGTTTAAATTTTATGTTCTTAGGAGTTTAGAGATTCAGTGTGGTAATTATTTCATTAAGAACAATTTCTGGATTCAGATTTTGTGACTAGTGTGACAAGGAAAGCACCTGAACTACTGTTTGCAAAAGCTAACCTGCAAAAATGTAATAACTGTGACAGGCCTGCAGAAACATTCTGTGTACCAGTTCTGCAATTAAAAATCTTAAGTGTTGGTCTTGAGTTAATTTGAGAAGGAAGAGAATTTACCTTCATAAAAAGCAGAATGAATATGGTTTATTACACTAAGGTAGCTAGTTTTATAGGCAGAAAATTACTTCTTGATAAAATTGCAAACCTTTTATTTTCAAAGATCTTTCAGGGACTGCCTTTTGAAGTAACAAATACTTCAAAAGGAAAATTGGCGCTACAGGGGAAAATTGTGAACAGTATGGTAAAATACTAAAACAAGCCAACCTTGAAATAAGACTGAGATGATAAAAGCTTAAAATACTTAGTTAACTGGAAGTTTAGCACTTTGTATTCTAAAAAGTGTTTTACAGATAAGAAAGGAAAAAATCTTACTCTTTCTATTAAATGACCATTTATTTTTTTCTTTCATGAAAAGTGTATTTCAGTTTGTTAGGTTGCAGGTCTTTCTTTTTAAACTACAGCTCGCCTAGAGCTATTTTAATGTGAATTTTTTGTGTCATTAAGTGTTTTGATGTATCTTATTACTTTTCAGCAAACCATATCACAAGCCACGGCTGCTAAGTATCCTCGAACTGTGCTTCACTCTTCTGGCTCTACCTTTGCGAGACCTGCAGGACAAGCTGGGCGAGTGCTTCAGAGCCAAACTCATACCAGTGTTCAGTCAATAAAAGTTGTTGACTGACTAACTATCTTTCTCACCAGTAGGGCTTTTTAATCAAGGTACCACTTCCCCGTCCTTTCAGATTTGATGCAGTAAGGCCTAAAGTACATATCATCTTTTTTCCCTTCTCTAAAAAAGGAAGGTTTTTAAAGTGAAAGTGCTTTTATAATAAAACCTGGAGGAGGGGAAAAAGAGCTTGAGCTTGTTGTTCTACCTCTAAACTTTTTATTATTAAGAAAAACACTTTTTATTTAAGGAATCTTTAGCACACTTTTTAAATAAAGGATACAATGTCATTTTTGTCTGAATCTCTTGTTTAATCCCAATGATACCAACATCTATGTTCAAGAGAAAATGATTTTTTTTTTTCTTACAAACATTTTACTTGCTTATGCATGTAAGTATAGCTGACCTGCGCTTTAATTATATCCTGCAACAGTGTATATAAATGGAGAACAGCAGGGTGGCATCCTCCACAGCCAGGGTCCAGTTTAGGCTAGGTGAGCTACAGTCCATCAAATTCTTAAACATTTTCATTTTGCAAGCTAATGTTTCAGAACTTGATGAATCCAAGCATCTGTACTTTAGGTCCCTAATTCCAAAACTTTATGATTTACTGGTCTCTTCTTCATATTCCTGGGACACTCTGCAGCAGAGTCAAAGAAGATTGCAAACAGGAGGACAGTTTGGACTAAGACTTCAGGCTAAGATCAGATCACTTTTTTAGTACAAACAATAGGATTCAGCACAAAATAATGCTAGCTATATGCAAACAGACAAGGCAATTCAATTCCTCCATTACCTGATAAAACTATTGCTATGTTATAAAGAAGATCACTAAAATAGACATTTACATAGTTTTTCAGATATTAAATGTATTCAGTAATAAGAAAACCTTTAAACACAGTCAGCAAATATTAATTCAAGATATAAACAAGAAATAACTAAATAATTGCTAGATGTGTGAAGTATTAAGTATCAAATGCTCTTTTGAGGGTATGTATGCAGTGTTATGCCATGATAGAAAATTCTGCAGCCACATGTGGTGTTTACACATAACATTTTTGTGTTTCTTCACTACATAAATCAAACGACGCAGTAGAAAGATTTTTCATAATCCTAGCAAGAATTTATAAAAACCTGAATCCCAAATGAGGCCAGATGCCAAGTTATTTGCCAGTGTTAATTGATTTGTACACATAACTTTCACTTACTAAATTTAATTTTTTTCATGTAGAAAACCTCTTATTTACATTTCACATCAAACACAAAGTAGCTTAATTTGCATTTCCAATACAGAATTACTTTATCAGTGTTAGGTCAGATGTAGAAATTGTAAGTGGTGAATCTTGCTTAGCAATTATAAGCTACCAGTCAGCCATTCATTCTTAAATGTTTTACATTTCTATTTAGCAAGCATTTGAGAAAAAAGTAACAACTTCAGGAGTGCAAGTTCTTCTAGGGTGGAAAAATTTGTGCAACTTCAAAATATATTTTTTGTTTCCCTAAAAGATATTTGAAAGCCACTTTCCTTCTGGCATGTAATTCCATCATATATGCCATGTTTTGTTGATGAACTCATGAAATGATACATTTTCTGGAGTCCATGCCAATGCTAACTGAAGCTCTGATCTTCTCTGTAAAGTAAGAGAAAACACTTGATTGGTGTGCTCTGCTTTGCACAAGTTCAGGCTAACTGAAGGATGGCCAGTCACAATTTAACTGTGTGTGCAGGAGATGAGGCAAGCAAGGTTTGCACATGTCTGCCTTTAGAAACCTTAAGTCTGACGTAAATGCTTTTTCTCAAACAGCCTCAGCCCTCAGGAAGGGCAGTCCCAACAAGAAGAAAGTGTCCTCCACCCCTGCCCTGGCCACAGCTCCCAGCCCCAGCAGGGAGTTCAGCATGGCACTGCACTCTCACAGAGGACACTGTAATGTGCTCTGTATCAACTTACCAGCTAAAGGCTGAAGTCCTGCTTCCACCAGATCTTCATACAGATGTTTAACAGGATTCTGATGAGCCAGCAATGTACCGTGTAACCAGATGAGCAACACTCTGTTCCCATGTTCCTTGTAACTTTTTTTCCCTATACGATACACAAAATATTTGTTCAATATGCTGGAAAGAGTGTATTTTGTGCTTTTGCACTTTAAAAGTTCCAAGAGGTTTTAAACTTACTCCCTTACTCTTATTACATTTCTCATCCAGCACAAAAATGCAGAGTGAAGCTTACAAAAGTTAAAAAAAAATCTTAGTTTTTATGTCTTCACAGTAGCAATAAGATAAAACAAGATTTAATACATCTTAAAATGGAATTTTACTTTAATTTTTCCCCAAGCTGTGGAAATATACCCTGGAGTAGTAGCAACAAGTACAATATGTGCTGCAGAAGCACTGTCTCCCCAGCACTTGAGAGGCCCGAAGCCAGAAACTCCTGTTTAATGGCAGCTGTGCAGACAGAATGTGAGCAAAATTGCTCTGTGTCATGAGGTTCCCCAGTCCTCACTTGCAGCATGACCCCCAAGAATCTTCCACGATGCTCATGGCTCCTAGTTTTGATCTCCAAAGAGGAAGGTTCCTTCAGGCCAAGAGGGAGAGCAGAGTGTGCTGTACTGCTACAGCACTGCTTCCCAGGAACGAGGGACAAGGCTGGTACCCCTTCACTATGGGATACTCACATAGTTTAGAAAGCAACACTGCCTTGTGGGGTTTTTTTATCCTATATATGGTCTGGCCATTCAGATATTGTTACCTGTCCATTGTTCTTCAATAGCTTTAATTTGTTCATCTGTGAACTTCCAGAACACAGCCAGTTTTTTCCATTCACGGGGCTTTAACTGGTTGTATGCTAGATTCCAAAGGGAGGAGCGGATTTGCTTGGTCTGTATGCTGTGATCCTGTTTGAAGGACACGCTGAAGTCTGACCCATTACCACTATGAGCTAGATGTGTCTGAAAAGAAAGCAGGTGATAAATTGTGTAACAGAGCTGGGAATCTTTGCTCAGTGAGGCCCTGTACAGATGTAGTTGCTGACAGATTATTTACTCTGTGCCTGAAAAGGAACTCTATATTGCTCATAGAAACAGAACTGAAACAAAGAGTTTCAGTGTTTGTTGCTATGTATTTGTAAGTTAATTGCCAAATAAGCCCCGTTGGTACTTGATACACAAAAGCAAAGTAACAGCAACTGTTGTGTCAGCAGTGCTGTGTTGATTGGTTCTGTCTATGTCATGTTTAGAACACAGCTGGGTTTCAGGCACACTTCTTAAATTTTCCTCTTGCTTCTCAAAGCACTAATCTTTCCCTGGGGAGAGGGTAGGCACCATGGGCACAGTGCCTCTCAACCTGTTCCTGCCTCTGCCCTGTCAGCTTCACTGGGCTGCTGTGTGGACTTCCAGATCCTTTGCTGGTACCATCAGCCATTAGGTTTATCACAGGGACTCCTAAACACCAATGTGCACCTGTGTGTTGAGCATGGATCTAGTTTCATTCCTGCAAAAGTAAAATCAGACAGAAATCAAAACCACATGGATTTTACCCTCTCAATTAAAAGTGATGCTCTTACTGTATGCATGGCTCACCTGGAACAGGAGTGATGGAGTTACCTCTTGTTTGGGCACCTTTTGGGCAAAAACCACGTCAATCAGTGATTTCAGTCCTAGCTAAGCTGTGTCCAGGAACATTCCTAGGTAGGTATGCTCCAGCTATTTCTGTATTTCATTACGTTTATGTACTAGTCCCATTTCAAGTAAATCTTCAAGGGGAAAAATTCTTTATGAATTTGATAGAGGATGACAAAGCAGATACTAAGCAAAAAAGGAAATGGCAAATGGAAATACTAAGCATAAAATGCTTCATTCCAAATTAAATTCAGAAAACTACAGCAGGGTTATTTCCTAACCTCACAAGAGACTTACAGAGAAAAAAAGTCACCGTTCAGTAACCAAGCATTGTCATGTATTTTTGGTTCCATTCATCTGATGCAGACTTTATTTCATGCTTCTTAACATATGCAAGGTAAAGTTTAGGACATTCTACAGGACAGCTTCAGGGTCTCTCTGGTTAGATCATTTGCTTATGATGTTTAATTTAAAAAAAAAAAAGCCACAGGAAAAAAATCTCAAGCAAACAAAGAAAACCCCTTTGCAGCGGCACAGCTTCCCTTTGCTGCTAAGGGTGTTTTGAGGCAACAGCAAGGTGGAATAGTAACAGCTGCCCTCAAATCCAGTTAAACCCAGCCTAGACAACGACTGGGAAGGGTTGTGTAGAAGTGATAAATAGAGAAAAGGGCAAACAGAGAGATGACAGTCACACTTTAGTATCATGTGCCCTTCCTCTCAGCTACATGACACTTCCTTTTGTAACTAACGCTTTGTCACAAATGACAAGTCAGCTGAATGTAACAAAAATGCAGTCCTTAAAATAATGGTTCTAAATGCCGTAGTTCCAGTATGGTAACTCCACCAGCATCACATTCCATAGCCATAAGATTTAAGCTGTTCCAAAGGCTGTGTTCTCAGCTTCAGGCAACAGGATACAAACACTTACATTTGTATTTCCCAACATCACTGGTGCTTCTGCAGAAAAGCATCTGCTTAACACCTTTTCTTCTCTTCAGAAAATTCAGTGAACAATGCTAAAAGGTTGAGAATATTATGGGCTTACTGCTGTCAGACTTGTCATGTCTTCTGTGGCAACAGACTACTTCTAATTTCTCTTTAGACCGAAAGAAACAATTAATGTACCTGACAATTCCAGCTGAACTGGTGCAAATCAAATGCACAATACAGAGTGTTCATGGAGGCTTTTTTTGCAGTAATGAATCTAGATCTGTGATTTACCAGCCCTGTAACATTAGTGTCATGGATCTGGCCATTCAGGGCAGGAGTGGGGTGGTAAGACCAGCTAATCCCTGTATCTGCTCTGGGACAGGATCAGTATGCTTATACACTTGGCTAACTCAGCAGGAAGCAGGAGTGAGAATGAAATCACAAATTGATATGGCAGTTACTTGTAGCCCTTTAGAGAAGCCCATCACTATGCAGTGTTCATTTAATTAACAACTAGGGAAAGAAGGTGAGAAGTTCAGACAACCTAAGCCATGTCATTCACACTTGTTGTGAAATTCTTTTCCTTCTCATTGATTTAATCTTATAATTAACACACAAGGGAAAGGAGGGAGCTTCTGTTGAAGTAGCTGAGCTCTTGCTAGCAAAGGAATCACAGACATCTCCACTCTGCTATTTTTCAAGCATAGATTTTACTGTACCAAAGGATCCAGAAATCAACATGGATCCATGATATCCCAGCCATGGTACTGATGGCACAGTTTGGATTTGGCCTAGAATCTCTCTCCATCCCTTTATGTGTAGAGCACAAGGCAGGAAAGTGCTAAGATCTGCTTACAGTTTTACAGCTAGTCAGCAATAAAGCCTGGATGGGCTACAGACTTTCCCATTCCCAATCCTAACTTTTGTTTATCAAGGCCAGTCTTACTGCCTGCCAAAAGGAACCACCTCAGCTGAAAGACACCTCAAAATCAGAACTGGCTTTTCCCTTAGCTTAGGTATATTGTGTTTAATGAAAGGTGCCTCTTACCTGTTTCATGGCAAAATACCTTTCTGCTTTAATGATCATATCTACAATGAGGGCATGATGGCTCCTTGATGCTGTGGCTAGTGCAGTTTTCCCATGCTGAAAGCAGGACAGTGAGTCAGAACATAATCTTGGGTAAGTGTGTCATAGAAGAAAAACACAGGGACTGTTTACAGACCCCATCCCTTTTTTATGGCTTTTGGGTAGCTACAATCAAAGCCCTATGCTCTGCATAAGCTTTATCACCTCAGCCCAGAGGTGGTCAGTTTTCTCACACACTAAACACCCCAGTAAAAATTCTGGTGAGGCACTGCTGCTTTCAGAAACCTGCACTCAGACCTGCATACTTCATACCGGCTTGCACGCTCCAGTCACTGCATCCACATTCAAACTACCACAAATACAGCTGATTCCCATGCTATGGTTAAACTGGCATTTCAGATGGATAGGCTGGCAAAGTTGGAAATATCCAGCTTAAAGGGCAAATCTGTCCCTTGTTTTAGATGGTAAGAGAAGGTGACTCACAGAATAAAAAGAAAATTACTTTCTTATTAGAGCTGGAAGGAGCACAACTGCAGGCTGATGCTTCATGGGTATAGAAGGAGTCACAGTTATTCAAAGCCATTGCTGCAACACCAGCTGCAGAGGTTTGCTCAGTCTACCTGAACCCATCTCTCCTATCAGCACTTCACTGTGATGCAGACATCACGGTGGCTCTAAAGGGATTTCTCTGGAATTGTCTATTTTCAGCAGATCTGCACTGAGTGCAACTGCCTGGGATTTAAATATTATGATTAATCTCCACATAACAAGTGCTAGGCATTTCTAGAAAAATAGATCTAAAAGAAGCCAATCCCTTAATTAGGAGGTTCATTAATTAAATTATAAGTTATTTCAGTTCCCCACATAGATTAAAGTTCCCTAATATGCACCTTTTGAGTTCTAGCTCCTGGTGGTGCTCAAGATCATTCTAATTAACCTGTTTTTAGAAGAGCATCACATTGGAAGCCAATGAACATACATTTCATTAAATCTTTTAGGCATAGGCATATTTTATATGTGAAGAGTCCAAAGACCACAAGAACTCCTTGGGCTTAGCTCTGGAGAGGTGCTTTGCATTTCACAGAGGGAGGCAGTGGATAAGGGGGGTATTTCTGCACCCCTGTGCTGGTGTGGACACTGCTGGCATCCTGCACGCACATGCAGCACAGCACTGCACATGGGGAGCTCTCTGCCCTCACAACCAAAGACAGAGTGCATTTCCTGACCTCTGACAGGAGCAGATGCATGGCATTCTCTGGAGAATGAGTACTGCTGCCAGGGCGCGGAGGCCAGAAAAATACTGTGCAATCAAAGCAGGCTCCCCATCTTCCTGACTACTGTTCAGAAAGCACAGTAACATTTTTGGCATCTCAGCACCAATTCAGTTCAAAGGGCACTGTACTTGCATATGTTCCCAGCAGTGGCATGGTCTCAGGGGTCATCCAGCAAACAGGCAAGGAAAAAGCTACTCCAAGAAATGAAACAGAATCCAGAAAGGTGACTTGTACCAGAACTTGTAGTGGCTCAGAGCCAAATTCTCACAACAACCTCTAACAGTGTTGCTGTAATACAAGAGCGCTGCCTTGCTCAAAGTCTTGCAGGTGCTAAAGGTCGTAGGCAATAAGTAATTTTTGTGTCTGCCTTTGGAATACAAATACGTTGAAAAAAATTCCCAATGGCTAAGGTGCTGTTGAAAGTGGACAAGATTTCATTCTGGATTGATCCCTACAAGAACTGCAGCCCTTTGGCAAGTGTAGGCATGATTCTAAATGGAAAGGCTTAACCACAATGCAGCACCTTACCTCAGCATCCCAAAACATACCAACCATGCAACCCCCACACAAAGCCCCAGGCCTCGTATCAGCCCAGGGCAAAACAAGACAATTCTAATCCATAAAGATTCATTTCTCATCAGGACACTTTTCTGCAGGGAAGCTACTTTTTCAGGTTACAAAAGGGCAAGATTTTTCTCATAATAAACATCAAATCCTTCAACTCAGTCGTAGAGAATTTTAAGAAAAGCGGTAACAGTGTAAAAGGGAACACTTAATCTTGCAGTGATTTATTTAAAATATTTAAATACTGGGTTTGGTACTCTGTCCTTTCAAAAGCACTTCTCCAGCAACTTTTCTTTGGTACTTCTTCCAGCCATTACCATTTTTGTTTCTATCTTTCAGGCAGAACATCATCTCAGGGTTTAAGTACCCATCTGAATGGATCTGGAATGTCACCATGATTCTCAGATGACCTGGAGTGCTAAAGGGCAAACTCTCCATCGCTGCCCCTGGTAAAGCTATGTTTCTCCTGGCACTGGGCCCAGCTGCAGAAGCACAGTTACAAGGAGCCACAGGCCATTTGCCCCTCTGCAAGCCTAGACCATATTTTCCTTGAAAGGTTTCTGGAAGCAGTGTTTATCCTTCAAACCACAGAATTTGGGAGCTTTACAGCTCTTCACCAAAACCATCAGATCTCTGAGTTATAACAATATTAAAAGTAGACTTCCTTTGTAGTTAGCTTTACTTAGCAAACACAACCGACAACATGTGCTTTATGCATCTCTGTAAGGAAGATTATAGAACAAAAAATCATGTAATCCTTACATGTGTGAGGAATGCAATTTACCTTATCCATGGTCTTGAGATTGCAGCCTGACTTCAGCAGCACTTCCACCAACTCCACATTGCCAAGATCAGCTGCCAGATGTAGAGGGGTTTCCTGCCTCTGGAATTGAAGACACCAAATAAATGCATGGAGTCAAACTTAGAAGCAGCATGCTCACAGGCTGAATCTAAAACAGATTCACAACAAGAGGTGACCTTGGTGAGAAAATACTGAACAGAGGGAAATCATTTAACTTCCGAACAGAGGGAAATCATTTAACTTCTGTGTGATCTGCCAGTTTTGTATCAGGCAGACAAGACAGCATATGGCATCTCTGCAGGAAAACCAGGCAGAAGTTCCAGCTGGCTCAGGAAAAGGTCGCTGTTATGCCCCTCTAATGTACTGTAAGCTAACAAGCTCAGTCTCTCTCTTCCCTCTTGAAGCAAGATGCTTTGGACAGAGGGCTTCATGTGTCTGGCAATCCACACCCATATTATTCTCTCAAGTAACCTTTTCCCTGCTGAAATTCATGCCAAGACAACTGGATATCCACAGTTTTCAACAGTACATTACGCCACATCCACAATGGAACTTTTTAGTTGGCCCTACCACAAAATCATGATGCACAGCAGAAGTCTACCTGCTCCATAATGGGTTCAGTGGACCTTAAACAACATACATACAAAAAAACCCAAAACAAAATCATTAAACAAGGCCAAACCATTAACAAGAAATACAGCTAAAATGGCATTCACCTTCAAGTAAATCTTTGAGTCTGAAAGGAGGGTTGTATAGTCTCTACATAGCTACATATACCCAAATATGTATTCATTTATTTTTTACAGAAATTAGAGTAAGAAAATCCAGACATCTGTGGGTGAAATGCAGCAGCAAATAATGGAGTAATTGTGGAAGCCCTGCATATATCGGAATGTTCCTTAGTATGTTTCTTGGGACACATTACCCTTCTAAGATGAATGTTTTGTGCCTGTGCTTCTCCGACATTGCAAGTTTACATTCTGTAAGTCTGGTTAGAGAACTTCTTTGGCCTTTATATCTTAATTATAGTTTGCACACTAAGAAACACCAGGCTCAGGGTTCCACATTAAAAGTCTCATTAAGTTAATTTTACAGTTTACATTATGATCACAAAATTTCATGTATTCACCTTACTTTTTTATTCCCATAAATAAAAAGGGGTTTTTTTTATTCATACACCCTACTTTCTTTCCTGCAGAAATTTAGGGATACATAAGTACCTACTGTAGGCAATTTCCAGGATGCTAAAGACAGAGTGTAAAATATTTCCAAAAGATCTGTTGAAGAAATGTAAAAAATTCTCTGTTTTATGTGACCAGAAAGTCTTGTCCTTATACTTTACTCCACCCACAAATGACAGCCTCTGTCTTCCACAAAAAATATGTATGAATTAATCTTTAGCAATAAAATGAACAATGGGAAGAGGTGAACCACAGATTTCTCGAGACTCATCCTTGTTGCTATTGTGGGGAGCACCTCTGCATGTCATGAGGGAGACCAGGCTGCATTTCCCCAGCAGTGAGCCACAGTGCCCCAAATGGGACTCGACAGGTCTGCTGAGACAGTCTTTCCACTGAGATGGATGGCTGAGATGTAGGGCTGATGGGGAGGGGAAAGAGGGATTCTCCTTGAAGTGCCACAGGTGGCAGGCCTGTGTGTACACAGCTGGGCCATGGAGTCTCTGATGGCCAGGAGCCAGTGTATGTGAGCTCTGTACAATCTTCTGCCATATGGACCATAGGCACTGGATGTCCTCTGATGGAGGACATCATAGGACATCTCCTAGATGGAGACCTAGTTGTTGTCAGGTCACTGTAGTCCACTCTGCTACCACTTCCTCAGAGATATTGGATACCTTCTGGTATTTGTTTACTTGCCTTGCTGGTTTGCAGTATCTTCTCTGAGGAGACACTTTGCATTCATGCTCAGTAAGAGCCATCTCCAGAGACATGGGAGTGACTTCTTCTGTTATGATCACTTTGTCAATCCCTTAGTCCCTAGAGGTGGACTCCCTGAGCTTCCCTACCTTCCCAACACTGGAACAGCCAGGTAGCCATGTGTTTATCTTGCTGCCTACCTAAGAGGTCATTCAGAGATGGACACCAGGTAGTTTTGCTTCTGTTGTCATTCTTGTATTTTCCCTTTCCTGTCCTGCTACAGGCCAGGTTGCCTATTTTGAATCTTCCCCCTTTTGCCCCTCAGCAGGAGCTGCTGTTTCTCTTTCTAAGGAAATCAACATCTACTTCTATCATCTCTCCTTGAGTTCAGGCACAATCATTATATTTGAGGGCTGGGTCTCTGGTTAAGCAAAGGTGTGACACCTCCAACTAAGGGAATTTTCATTTATGGTGGCTTCAGAGCTTCTCAGTCCCTTTGCATGCTCCTTGATCAGGAAACCCTTGTTCTCTTTCCAGGGCAGTGGATGGCAGCTCTGTAGGCAAGGGCCAGACCCAACACAGCATTGGAAATCCCTGGGCTTCATCAGGGCAGGCAAGGCTCCCCTCCTTCAGATGGTGTATGAATTACTTGGGACTACATTCCTGCCAAGGCATGAAATCCCAAACACTGGGAAGCAGTAAGAGCCTCAGGCACATGTCCAATTCCTTTCACACATGATGA